AAACCCCCGAAAGCTGTATTCTCTCGACAATGTTTTACTTGTAATTCAAATTTTCTCATTTTAAATATGTACGATCACAAATAATAAAGGAATCGAAAATTCGTCTGGAACGGGAGGAGGAGAGACAAGAATACGAGGGAATGGAGTGGTCGGTAGGCGATATTAACGAATTCAGAACGGACACGTTCGGATGTTAGATCGGCGGCGTAGTGTCACGTTACTTCGCAATGCTTCGGAATGCAAAATCGCGGCGACGAACGAGCTAGTCTCGTTGCTTACGAAGGCCTCTCTCGTCGCTTAAATGTCGAAACACCGAGATCCCGGCCTAAGGAACTGGAGAACCGACACACGGTGCACGGACTCGAATTCGCACTCCGTTGCGTTTTCGCCCATTATACGTGATCTTCCTTTTTCCTTTGCATTTTGTAATATAATATTCGCCTATACGCGTATAAAGGTGATTTGATTTAAATTTCTTTTGTGAAGAATCATGGGTCGTTAATTTTTTCTTTCTCTCTCTTTTTTTTTTTTTTTTACCCAAATTTTCACCCATTTTTCTCCGATTTTTTGGTTAATTTTTACAAATAGATTTGGCACGACGCTAAGGCTCGATCGAGTGTCCTTTCGCGAACGAGAAGATATCAATTTATATATTTCGTGATCGTTGAAGAACAATCTTTTATACCGTTTCTTTAACTCTTCGTTTTAACTGATATTTTTGAAAATCGATAACAATATTCTGCTGTTCAAAATTTAGATAGATTAGATAGGTAGATCCAAAATTTTCATCTGCCGTAAAATTTTATAAAATTATTGAACGAGTATCAATTTTCAACGAATTGTACGAAAAATATCGAATAAGTTCTATCCTCAAAAATACCCATAACTCCCCCCATTAATTAATTCCGTGACAAAATGAAATATTTATATCACAGTAGACATCCCGCCTCTTAATTAACCAACGGAATATACGATCTCATTTGTTTGCCCCAAATAAACAGGAATCGCGCAAAGCAAGCAATTTAGGGGATAATTTCGTGATTTACGATTCGAAGTGAAGTATATTCGAAGTGAAAATAAATCAAAGAATTGTAATAACATCGGATGAATTGAAAGGAAAACAGTCACGGGGTGTCCGGTGTATAGAATAAGAAAAGCTGATTTTAGAATATATTTTATCCGGAATTTATTTACAAAAATTTTCATTGCACTTCCTATATTTGTTCATTCGATACGAATAACAAGTAAGAAAGATAATGATCGGATATAACGTTCCATCGATCGATGATCGCAAGGAAAGACTCGTTGTCCTTCGTTTTTAGAAAAAAATTTTTGATTCATGGATACATTCGACGTGGAACAAATTGCGGGAAAATTGAGTTGAGCATATTATTGAGCATTTACTGATATCTATAAATATTCTTATCGGATAGAAGAATTGACTTCTTATGGAAATTTATTTTTACATCATCATCAAACATTAACATTTTTTTTTTTTAATTAAATTCGTTTGTGGAATTCGATTTTGTAAATTTATTTTATTTGTTTGGAAAAATTTCTTCGATAGATATAATTCATACGAGTCGAGATACATCTAATAATGTTAATAATTAGAAGTTTTTCAGATAATATTAGTCAATAAATTAAATTGCTCTATCACGATAACTTTTTTGTTCCATCAACTTTATCGATAATCGTTATCAAAAAGTTCCTTTTTAGCGTGAAGAAGAGAATCAAAATGGATAAAAAGGGAGGAAAGAGAAATTTATTCAAGATCGATAAATGAAGATCGATAAATTCGTTTCAAAGAGATCGAAAGGAGTTACTTTCAAGACGAGAAACATTCAGTGATATCTTGTTTAAGGGAAGAAAGAAAAAAAGAAGTGGAATGTGACAAAATGAAACATGTGATTTCGAGAACGCGCCGGTCAACTTCCGCCTGCTATTATCGATTTTTAATTAAGTTCGGAGCTCGATTACAAGAAGCCGCGAAGCTCGTTTAACCTTTATTTACGGCCTTCGATGTTAATGCATGAGAATGCAACTAATTTACAAGCAAAATCACCGAAATGAAAAGAAAAGATGAAAGAGGAATAGTGATCTTTTTCGAAACCTGTTCGTAAAACGAATGGATCAACCGTGATTTTTATCTTGTTTAAAAAATCGCTTTCAACTTTTTAAAAAAAAAAATCTTTTATTTTTTAATTACAAAGAAGAATGATAAAAAAACCGTATGAAATGAAGAGTTTTGTGCAGAATAGAAAGAAAATAAAAATTCAATTTTGTTATTATATTTTTATTATATAATATTCTATTTGATTTTCTTTAGTGATATCACGTTTGTTAAAAAAAAAAAAAATTGATTTCAAAGAAAATCGTTCTAATGAGCTGGCAAAAAATTGTTTTTGTTTGTACTGTTCATATAATCATATATTCAAATAATTTCTTTCTTTACTATATAATTTTTATGCAATTATGATATTATTCGAAAAGATATTTCAATACTATTTTTATATGTATTTTTATATGTATATATATATATATTCTTTTCATAATTTCTTCTATCTCATTTATAAATTAAAAATTATTATCTAAAAATTAATTTTATATGCAAAGTATCCTTAAAAGTAATACATGATGTAAGTAAATTAAACCAAATACAACCAGACTTAATCGAACTTTTGTTTCACGATTTCTGAAAAAATTAAGAATTTGTGTGATTTGATAATATTGATGCAACCTTGATGCAATTTTATATCATTATTTTTTAAAAAATCAATGTTATATCATTCCGCCTCGCATAACCTTTCCTTAAAGTTCGTGCAAACTGTGATATTCGACGATATGATAAAATTATTTCCCTTATTAGCAAAAGTTAATATTACCATAGAATAATCTTATCTGTTTCAAGCTATTTTACAAGTAATTTATTTGGATTCTCATAAATAATATATGAAGATAACGTACCTCTTAATTCTACTAAAATCATCGAGTCTCAAATATCTCAATCTTTCAAAAAAATTGTAACAAAAATAGTGCAATTAGCGAAATTAATAATTATAATGACTGAGCTACTTTTTTCCCTAATAGATATAAATTTAATTTATAATAGAAAAGAAATAAATTAGATCAGATTAACATCTATTTTTTCCTATTGATAATATTATGAATAATTTATATATAACAAAGTTATGAATGTTTTAATATTTTAAAGAATTAATCAGTTTATTTCTTAATAAAGATAAATTGCAAAATAAATATTGCAAAATATGTTAGGTTCTGTTAAATTTCTTATTATATGAAAAATATAATAATGTATTTAAATAAAGAAAAATAATTATTTAATTGATAAAAATAATGTCATTTCATTTCTTTTTGTAATATTTATTAAAATTATTAGATATAAAAATCGCGAATAATATTTGACAATATATATTTCAAAATTATTTGCAAAAATATGAATTAAATTTGGATGGAATAAAATAAAATAAATAAAAAATAAATAGAAGATAAATCAAATAAAATTATCATTATATAATACTTGATCCTATTTCGATTTTTAATTGAACTTTTAAGAAAAATCGCATGAATTAAAAATTTTTCTATTTATTTGCAAAATTTTGATAAACGATAAATAGTTATTTGCACCTTGCGTTTCATATCATCATTATTTACCTTTCTTTTAAATCGTCAATTCGTGACGTTGGTAAAATTTAAAAAAATTTAAAAAAAATACATACGAGAAAATGAAAGAGACATGCAAAGAGAAATACCAGTACAAAAATAACATGAACGAAAACAGATTTAACAGAACGATCCTGTTGAATGTCTCTCTTCGAAATATCATGAAAAGTTAAATGAAATAAAATTAAGTTAATGAATTAAAAAAAAAAAGATGGAAAAATCAATCGATTTTGATGGGTAATCTTGATCTTTAATGTATATAATATAATTCGATGATAAGAAAATAGAAAATATAATATCGATATATATAATGTTAAAATACTATAATATTATTGTAAATAATTTTAAAAAAGGAAAGAATATATGATAGAATGTTCGAAAAAAAAATTTTGAATTTTTTAGCACTTTCAAATTTCCGCGCCAAAAAATGCATCACGCTTTAATTGTCAATGTCAACGGAACGAAGAAAATTTATGAATCTACTATGTCTACAATGTACGAATAAAAATATAAATAAATATCACAACGCTTCTAATCTTTTTCTCGCGCAGACAGCCATTTTGTTAAAAATCATTGACACAATTGCATATTTAATTCATGTCGTTTATGTTGGTTAAGATATGAAACAATTCTTACCTTCTATTATGTGAAGAAACTTCGTACTGTATAATATGCTTTTACTTTTCAATATTCATTTATCAATATTCTGTATTCGTTTCTTCGAATTCTTGATTTCACGAATATATAAAAATCCTGACAATCGAATTTCACTCGACATACGGAAGATATACTTGACAAACAAATAATAAACTATTTCCACAAATTTTAACATCGATATATTACATTTTCAAGAGAATAATAATAAATAAAGAGAATATTCAATCGCGATATACACAATTTTATCACAACAAACTCCAAATTCCGCTGCGACATATTCGACACTGATCGAAAGTGACCGTGACTTGTTACATTACTAACGACCAACTAGACTATTTCCCTCCAAAATAGCGTGGAGCAAATATGAACTACGTATATCGAGAGTTTCGACTTTTGATCGATAATTCATTTATCACATCTTTATGTCATGACAAGACAGTAATTGTGCATTTATGCGAAATTGAAAAATGCAAATATATTTTATGTTCATAAAAATATAAATTTGCACAAATATTTACAGTCTAATCATGATTAAACCTCTATAAAATATCCCTACCATGCGATATATTAGAAAAGAAATAATTATCGATTACTTCGAATAATCGATTAATCCACGTGTTTCTCAACTAGCGAAGCACCTGCTGTAGAATCGAACCTACCTCTCGATTCGCGATCGGTGTTCCAAAGATCGATATCGACTGTCCGGAACCACAGAGTCTTCTCTGACACTTTTCGATGTCACACCGTAATATTTCAACGGGGAATTCGAAGATTGTACAGAGTGAACCGTAAACGAAACTCGCGTAAAGATGAACGAAACGGCGAATCGTGTGTCGAGGATGACGACGAAGAAAGAAATGAACTGAAAACACGCGACACGAGCCGCTAGCACGCACCGACTGAACGTGAACGCGAACAGACTGGTATCGGCCACGGGCAGCAGTCTCCCTAACAACATCATCCCCACCACAGTGCCATTCAGATGAATTTTTATCTAGACCGTTATTCGAATAGAATTGTGTCCGTGTACACAAGATTCAAAATTTGCATCGAATAGTACTGTAATTCAAATCAATTGCTTCTATTCTGATAGTAATAAATAAATTCTGTAGGATTGAATGTTTTCGATCGATAAAGGGTTCTTTTTAATACGATTTGAAGAAAAAAGTTAAATGTGTTTATGTGTGAATGTGGAATGAGAAACTTTTTACTATTAAGATAAAACGGATTTTATTGAAAATAAATTAAAAATAAGAGATGTTTGAAAATTGAAATTATCATTTTTATAATGAATACTTTTTATCTTTTTCAAGTGAGTAAATCTTATTATTTATATTGATTTTGATTTTTTAACTTTCTTACATATACTATATAATAGAATAAAATTATTTTGCCCTTGACAAATATATAGTAATCATTTATTTTTATCTATGAATATTTAATCGTTTAATAGGCTAAAAATATCTGTAATTATTGTTATGTTTGTCATAAAAAGACAGAAATATAAGATATTAAGTATATCGTTTAAGTATTTATATATTAAATAATTAAACAATTTAACTTTAACTTATTTCATAAAAGATTTTTATGATATATTTTGTGATATTGATAATAGTAATGATATTTTTATTCAATTTTTATTCAATTTAAAATAAAAAACTTTGAAAAATAATTGTATAAAAATTGAAAAAAGAAAAAAGAAATAGAGATTTATTGAAAATTTAGAAAATTCGTTAATAATAGTTATGTAAAATTGTTAATGATAGAATTGAACATATGGTATAAATATAAATTATTACTTTTTCACATAATATGCATATGTCAATTAATATATTTTTCTAAACATTACAATATTTATATATTGTTATTATATATATAAAGAAAATTTTAAAAATTTGCATTATACTTTTTCTTATCATTATTTTTTTCTATAATCATAATTTTAAAAATTTAAATTATTTATAACATTTATTTATAACATTATATTATAGTTTTAAAAAAAACTATAGAAATTTTTCCATATTTATTTTATATAATGATATTCAATATTCAATATTATTCAATCAAATACAATTTTAAATATATATTATTCAACCAAAATATTTTGAAAAACTATTACTATTCTTAACTATTTCTTAACACACTGAAAATCATTTATAAATCTAAAGTTGTGTAAAAATTTTTTTAGAACAAATTATAAATATCTCTAAAAAAAGTGTTTAATGTCCATAATTATTTATTATAATATTTAACATTAAAAAAAAATATTTCTTAGAAATTTAAAAAATCTAAATGAAAATTTTAATCATAGTATAATATATATATTAAACAATAGTAAATCTTATTATAATAAAATTATATTTAAATAAACACTGTTTAAAATATTTATTCAATTTTACAGATAACTACCTATGCTGTTATCGATATAATAGATAACATATTTGCCCATCGAACAAAAGTTACCAGATGGGAAAGATCATAGAATTTATATCAAAGTTGCGTATATTTAGTTTTTTAAAACTAATTCATTTTCATATTTAAAATTCTATTTGTAAAATTTATTATGTATATTTATTCCCAAATATCTGTATATTTCATCATATGAATAGATATGAAGCTATTGCTGTATTAATGTTATCTATGAATTGTAATTTTTCTTAGTATAAATAATAAATTTTTTTTTCTTCTTTTATTTAAAAAATAAAATTTGTAACAAAATTGAATGAGACTGAGACTATTTATTACTATTGTTATGTTTTTAGTTTTTCGAGTTCCGCAATCACAGTCACGAAATGGGGATTTTGAAACATTGAGTTCAAAATTCTGCATTTATATCATATAACAATAATTTATAAAATGATATTAACAAAATGATAATTATTGTTGTTCATATACATTTAACTTCCACTAATTTAGTTTCTTTTTTTTTATTTGCAAATAAGAAGAAAATCTCGAGTCTAAATGTTAATTTCAATTTTTGAAAAAATCATTTTTTGGATTTGAATTCAATGAGAAATTATTTTTATTATTATTTTATCATTATGTTTTAAAATATATAATAATAGTAGCAGTTGTACATATATATTCCGGTCATTATACAATTATTATGAACCCAAAAAATAAATTTTTAATTCATTTTACTATCAATTTTTGATTATTATATTCCAATTTAATTAAAAAACTTAATAAAATCTATCCCATCTAATTTATATAAATGCTTGAATATTTAATATTAAGAGATGTCATTGATTTTTAATTCTTATCTTATCAATTTGCATTAAATTTTTGGTTTATATTTTAGATGTTTTTTATATATATTTTTTTTTATAAGAAATACATATGAAATGAGTGCAAGAACTTCGTTTAAGAAATTGCGGCAAAAATATATTAATATTAATATATTAGTATACATAATAAAATCAATAGAATTTAAAACAAAATTTAAAAAGTCTTTTATTTTCAACAAATTCAAATTTTTTTTCAATTATATTTGTTTTTTAAAGAGAATCAATTTTCTATGTACACTAAATATACAAAAATTATTCAATCTAATTATAAATCTAAGCATATATTTTTTAAAATATATTTTTCATCATTCATCTGGAGCAAAAAGACGATAAGTATCTTATTTACTCTATTTTGGCTATGCCCATAAAAAAAGATATTTATTTTTTATTTCATCATAATATTTCTATGGAACAATATTCCATTGATATTGTAAATTTGGTTCTGCAATCTGTAGCCAAGATTATTAAGATAAATTAAAGAATATATATAATATAATATAATTTTTTCATAAAATTCTTTTATATTAAACATTTATTTTACCTTTGATGTAAAGTCATCAATGCATGCTAAACGAATACGAGCTGCAGTTGCAGGTGCATCTAATTGAAAGTAATTTTTAAGATTATAATCTGTGCGAGCAGATTTAATAGCTTCTTTTATTGCAAAAAATATAGAAGATGCAAGAAACAGTGGAGGTTCTCCTACAGCCTAAAATAAAATAATAATAAAAAAAATTAATAAAAATAAATAATGAATTTTTTATTTTTTTTAAGAATACATTATTACCTTGGATGAATAAACAGCTCTAGGATTTGAGGCACCTTTTAGTAAAGATACATTAAATATTTCTGGAATATCTGAAAAACCAGGTATTTTATATGCACCTGGACCTCTAGTCGCAATAGCTCCATTTCTTAAATATATCATTTCTTCTAATGTGAATAAACCATATCCTTGCATAAAAGCTCCTTCAATTTGTCCTATATCAATCGCAGGATTTAGACTTTTACCTAAATCCATTACAATATCAGTTTGTAATACCTATATATAAATATTATTGTTTAATAATTTATATTATAATCTAAATCTAAATTTAAAGTCTATATTTATATCTAAAGTTATAATTATGAATATGTAAATAATTTTTACAATATGTAATATGTAATGAATATGTAATTATTTTTATTTTAAAAGATATAATATTTGTATATAAAATATTAAGTGAATATATTTTTTATATTTACTTGATGATCTCCAGTTAAACAATCGATTTCTACTTCTGAACATGCAACGCCATACGTAAAATAATTAAATACATTTCCCGTATTAGTTTCAAATGAATATTGTATGTCGGGAGTTTTGTAAAAACCAGCAGCAGAAAGGCTGATTCTTTCCAAATAAGCTGTTGTTACCCATTCTTCCCATGTACCATTAGGATTTTTATCTATCACTGATTTTAGACGCTCCATAATTTTGTTACAAGCATTCTGAAATTTAAAATGAATGTTTAATATAATTACAAGTATATTATCATTCGCATTATTATTTAATTTATTAATTAAAAAAAAAATAATAAAAATATTAAAAATAATAAAAAAAATAATAAATTTGACACAAAAATTTTTATATATATAACAATTAAAAGGATACAGATGAATAAAAAAAAATATTTTATACATACCATGATGGCCATACCATTTAAATCTGAAGAAGCACTAGCTGCTGTTGCAGATGTATTTGGTACTTTATCGGTAGCTGTTTCCATTATATGTATTTTATCAGGTTTTATTTTTAATGATCTACTTGCCACCTAAATATTAAGAAAAAAAAAAAAAGAAAAAGTAATATAACAAATTCTTTACAATTTGAAATTTTTTTTTGATAGATCATGTTCTAAATGTGATGTAACTGACTTTAACTGATTGTGATAATATAAATAAAATATAATAAAAGTAAAGACAGAAAGTAAAATTTATAATTATTATGTTTCGAAATTTATAATTATAATTACAATAAAAAAATTTAGTTACATTACAGAAATTAAAATTAAAAAATAGATGAAATTAATTAAAATAAGAAAAATAAATTAATTTATATTACTTGTATCATTTTTGTATGTAAACCTTGTCCCATTTCAACGCCACCATGACTAATTAATACAGAACCGTCTGTATAGACATGTACAAGCGCCCCTGCTTGATTTAGAAAGGCTATAGAGAAAGAAATACCAAATTTCGTTGGGACTATTGCCAATCCTTTTTTCTTGTATCTATTTTCTCTGTTTGAAAGTGGTTTATTAAAATTAATATCAAAAACAGTTTCATGCAAAAATCTTTACATTATTGAAATTTTATAACTATACTATAAATAAAAATTAATTTAAAATTTTTTTAATTTACTTAAGAAAATTATAAAATACGAAAAAACAATTAAAAAATTAAGAAAAATGAAAGAAATAAAATAAAATAAAAATATTAAGATAAAAATAAGTAAGAAAAAAAAAATAACAATATTTAAACATACTTGTTGTATTTTTGAACTTGTAAAAGACGTTCATTATAATTTGAAGATAAAATACACTCTTTCCAGCAACGTTGTATTGTACAATTAATGAGCTTCTGATTATAATGAGTTGTATCTTCTTCTTTATATAAATTCAATTCTGCAACCTGTTAAAAATTATGGATATATTGATTACAAACATTATAATTTTATAATATTATATGATAATTTTATGATATGATTATTATTTTGACCTCAACAGGATCTTTATTTAAATATTCTGCAATATGCCTTATCATTGTTTCAGCTAAAAACATTCCTTGAGGACCTCCAAAACCACGAAATGCTGTACTTGATGGTATATTAGTTTTACATATAAAACCATATACATCAGATACTGGTATTTTATAAGAATTTTCAAAATGGAACATAGCACGTTCTAAAACCTTAAAATTAATTCAAAATATAAAATTTAATATCTAAAAAATAAAACATTTAATAACAG